TATATATATATATATATATATATATATATATATATATATATATATATTGTTTAAGCAAATGGTTAATTTACTTGTACCGTAGTCACTCATTTCTTACTCAAAGTTCGGTTCAACGTATTAAAATAAAATTAGTATTATACAAAATTGACGGACAAAAAAAAAATAAGTATAGATCAGATGAACAAATCAGTGTATTTAGTTTTAACATAAGTCAAACAGGATTTTTTTTTTTTAATAAGAATTCTAAAGTGCAGACCGATCTTATACCAAAGACCATCGGCAGAGATCATTTTGAATTCCAATCGGAATGGAAGACGTTTTCATTTCTGAAAGTACGAATTATGTTTGCTACTTTACTTATTTGCATGTTTTGACGGATGTGTCTATATATTTCATTACTTTCATTACTAAAGTTTAAATATTTACTCATTTATGCACTGGAAATTAGACGCATAGATGACAAGTTCTTTGAATAGTAAATTTTAGAATTTTCTTGAAAACCCAATTCTGTGTATGGGGTTGTATCACAAACTTTATTATGGTATTATTTTGTTATTTATATATTATATACGGTATAATTGTGTTTCCTTTCTATATTTTGCAGCTTCTATTTTTATTTGTATAGTGTTGTGGACTACAATACTTTACAATATTCAATTTGCTTTAACGCGTTTTGGTGTTAATTATATAAAATAATAAATTTGAAAAATTATAAAATGTATCGCACATGCATAACAGTTTTTAGTTTTATTGTTTTCGTACCTATAAAATATTCTAATCCAATTAATTTTATCAATTATGTATTAGAATTTAGTAGATAAAATAAAATGTACCATTATAAAGTTAAAAACAATTAGTATAATACGTTTATTTTAGCAGAACTGTGATAATAATGTTTATAATTTGTCATTCTAGCTCTTTTCAAATGCGTGTTAATGCCATGAATAATATGATCTTTTATGTATATTTTTAATAGATATTATGCGTGTTAAACTAAATAAAAATAATTTAATCGAAAACATTTGGAATATACAAACGTATCGAAAATACGATGTTTAACTTTTCTTAGAATATTTTTTCTAAACATACTGAATCATTATATTCAAATCATACATTATGCACCACACACTGCCGTGCGTCTATTAAATGTAAACATACTGTTACTGAACTGTTTCTGGTTTTACTATACTATTTTCCTATAATATATTAGTTGTAACTACTTAGAAATTTAACAAAGTGTCGGTAGTAGGTACCTAATATTTATAGAATTTTTGGGTAGTATAAATCTACGTAATATATTGATTCATTTTCAATAGGTAATATAAAATATTTGAATATTGAAATTGATTTCGTCACGAAGAAAAATTGAATTTAAACAAACTACATTAGATAATATATAGGTACCTATGTTCCGTATATTTGCCTCAATTTATGTTAAGGTCATAATAATTTTCGTGATGAACGCTTTTTATTAACCATTGTTCGTTGATGTTTGTGATTTATTTTATCAATTTATTTTATTCAAACTAGGCCAGTCTTAAAATTTTGAATTTTATGAAGTTCAGTTTTCTACGTCACCTAAAGCAAAATCGATTTTCATTGAATATACCATGTCTTATTTGAGATGATATTTTGTTAGTTATATTTTTATGCATAGTTTGATAACTTGGGAAGTTTGCGAAGTTTCTATTAGATAAAAAATACAGTATGCTATTAAAAAAATTATAGATGGTTGTCACTTAAAATATTTTTTATATAAAGTGTTCCATGTGGTTTACTTTAATAGTGTTGAATACGAAAATATACAACTATTGTCAACAACATTATTAATATAAACTAGGTAGTAAATTGCCTCATAGCTTATTTTTTTTTGTCATACAATGATGCAACTGTTAAATTAATAATATTAGTGAATTAAAAAAAAAAAAAAAAATTGTTTTCAAAATAATTATAAGTTTATAGCCGTTCTAAATGTTTGAAACCTTATTGTTATTTTATTAACAAGAAATTATATCAGAAAAATCAAATTAAATTAATTAAATTCTATTTTTTATTTGTTTTACTAATTTTTGTGTTTATAACAAATTTTTTATATTATGTATAAACCTAAGTATTGTTTTCTATTTAAATTTAAAATAATTATTTCTAAAAAAATAATATGATTGCTGGTTTATTATTCAACTCGTATAAATTAATATTTTGGGGAGCACCCGGGAATTTTATAATGAATTCTCTAAGCTCTTGAATAATATTAGTAAAACTAATGTAGGTATTACATTTATTCTTTATTGCATTACATCATAATTCGCATTTGAATTATTGTTTGTTCAATGTAATAATACCTTTGCGTTACGCCATGGTTTTTGTGGTTTATAAAATCAAGCGTAGTATGAATATAAAACATATTTTCATGTTCTCTTTCAATTTATAGGTATATTTATTAAACATTTTAAACAAACATGTATTGTTCTTGTTTCGATTTTTGTTACTTGTTCTTAAGATATCGTTGTAATTCCGATTACCATCTTCCTTATTCCTTATCTTAATAACTATTTCTACGTACCAGAAAAATTAAATACATTTTATAACAAATTAAAAGAACCAGAACATATAATACTCAGTATTGGTATACATATAAATGTTATTCAACGACGCTAAGCCATTGTGTATTTTTTTTCACTTAGTTGTTGTTTAATAGTTATGTTTTTAACCTTTTCAACGTAATGAACAAATTTGAAAACACTGTCGTAACTATTAGAATAATTATTCATTTAATACATCAACAATTAATAAAATTAATACATCAAAATATATATAATTTTAAATTTGACATGCGATGTAGTTTCAGTACAAAATTGAGTGAATTGATGTTGGTAATTATTATTATCATTATTATGGTTATATGCCACTGTAAATATTTTCTTTCTAGTTTTGTCGTAATCAAAAAATCAAAAAAAAAAAAAAATTCCATAATATTGCTCGATAATCGATTACGAATAACAACATAATATTATTTTTACACAATGACGAATAATAAATAATAAATATAATAAGTCAATATATTATGTATGTGTGTAGAGAAAGATATATTAATTCTGCTTATTGATCGTTACTTTATGTGAAATTATTATTCGTTTAAATATTGCATATGCGTCCAATTCAACGTATACAAATGTATGATAGCTTATACAAAACATAAAAGTTAAATTAAAATCAAACGTGTATTCGTATACGTCGATCGGTCAACACTCGAAATACATTTGTTTAAACGCGTGGCATATATTTATTTTTTTTGCTCGCAAACGTTTCGTTATAACCGGTAGTCTTATTTTATTGGATATTTTATGTCACATACTATTTTCATATTAAATTGTATTCGGTCTTTGTTTTCTTTCCATTTTGATAACTACTCTACGTGAAGAACTATATGTCCCATTCGGTATATTAATTTTTACGTAGGTACTTATACGCGTTGGTCTATTTTTTCCAATGACGTTTGACAGACATTAGGTTCATATTTTAAACATCGGGTTGCACATATTTTTTTTTATATTCTACACTGTGCATTATACTAACGAATACCACCTAATATTTAATTCTCCTTGTTATATGCATTGTACTTTCTGCAATATACAGTATGATAATTTTAAAGAATGCGCATGCACGGCAATGTTTATTTGAAAGTTCAAATAATTTAAGTTTCTTTTTCCGAAAAAAAAACTTTTGACCCCATAGGAATCTATACATTTATTCAGAACTTTAATAATACATTCATTAGATTTTTTTTTTTTTTGTTCTTATGAGTATTGTGGCTTTGGTTCTCAATGTCAAAATCGAAGTATAATACTGTTTTGTTTCAAGTTTTAGAGTATTCGAGTATTGTCTTAATGTAATCAGCATTATTACTGTGATGTGTTTAGAGATGTCATGTATGACGTAAGACTATATAACTAGGTATATAACTACAACCGGTAAGTGTTGTGGTTCTATGTTTTGAATATAATATGCGTAGATAGAGAGAAAACATTTATGCGGATTTGACATATTTTGAAAATGAAAAATTGTTAAGAAAAACATAAAATATAAATAACGAAAAAAATAACTAAATTTGCATAAAAACATGTTGACGTATAAAGTATAGTAAATATGTGTTAGTAGGAAATATTATAATCATCCGCAGTGATGATAACGACCGATTTGATAATTATAATTTCAGTCAATAACATTTTTATCCTTTAGAAATTAAAATTGAAACCAACTATAATTGATTCGAAAAAATTATTTTACTTTACTATTAATAATTTAATCATTTATATTGTAATAGTGTTAACTTTTCCTTGGACACTTTAAATATTATAACTATGAATTGGGATAGTCTA